ATGCTGAAGCACCATTTGGCAGGGCTACTAAGACTTGGGTCTCTCTCTTGGGCGGGGCATCAAGTACATGTCTCTTTATCGATTAACCAATTTCTAAATGCCGGAGTAGATCCTAAAGAGATACCTATAACGACCCTAAAAATGAACTAGTGAAACTAGAGCCTCACATGTGAGTTTGGAGTTGAGAACTTGATGAAATGATGAGAAATGACTGTGACGTCCGTAAACTAGTCATTTGAACTAGTGAGTTGTAAGGGTCAACTTTAAATGATCATATCTTTTAGCTCAAAATGAATTAGGTGGACCTTTACCTATCCAATTAAAGGTCTTTGAGTCCTCTTTCCAACGCCACCGAGTTTGCCCAATTCCGACCTTGGAGTAAAAATTTATGCCCGAAATATTGAAGCACTATCAGGCTGAAAAAAAGGGCGAACTAAGACGGGAAGGGGTAGAATTTTTTAAGTTAAGACTTTATGGGTCCTTAGTCCTTTTCCAAAATTGACCCTATGTTATTTTATTCTTTTCCTAGCAACTATAAGACCTTTTTATGACTTAATTCCTTTCATTTAAGCCACTCCTCTTAGGATTAAAAAGAAACCCATCTCCTTTCATATATTTCTCTCTAACTCAAGGAAGAAGAGGAGTTGGAGCTAGGATTGAAGATTTCGAGTGCTTCTTCTTCAATTTTCGTGGATTTTCAACTTAGAGGTATGGAGATCCTTATCCTTGATTATTCTTTCTTTCAAGGAACCCAATCAAAAGGTTTTTAAGGTTTTTCAAATACACACAAAAACCTATTTCGATTCTAGCATGGGTTCTTGCATAAAAAGGTTTTAAATGATGATTTATATGGTTATTAATGATTATTAATGGTTTTTAGAAAGAAATTCCCATGAACCCATGTCTTCTCAAATTCTCTAAATTTGGCCTAGAGTGGGTGTTTTGATTTTGTGTAATTGATGGACGATTATTGTGTAGATTGTTGTGGACTGTTCATAGATGTATTTATCTATGTGGAATTGTTAAGAATTGTTAGTGAATTGAAGGATGTGGGATGTTAGCCTTGAATGGACAAAATTGTGAATTGGTCTTCATGTTGATTATTGGCTTATGCTTAGCTTAGCTTGTATAGTTGAATGTTGTTATTATCATTGTTATTGTATTGTTGATTGTTGGAATATGAGGATGATGAAGATAGCCATGGAAAGAGGGTAAGTTGATCAAACTTGATAAATATTGTATAATTGGCATGGAATTGAGTATTGTGGCTTATGGCCTTTGAAAAGGGTGGTAAGATGGCTTGATCTCTTAGTATTAATATAATTGTTATTGGTTGGTTTGATCCACCTTTGGTGGAGGTGGTTATTTGTTGTATTATTGTGAATTGAGGTCATGAAGGGCATTATGTGAATGTTATTATATTGTTGTATTATTATACACATATGAGGCTATATGTAAAGTCCTATATGAAGCTATATGTAAAGTTTTATGTGAAGCTATATGTGAAGGTATGATGTGAATGAGTTTTATGTGAAGCTATATGTGAAGGTATGATGTGAATAAGTTTTATATGAAGTTATATGTGAAGGTATGATGTGAATGAATTTTATGTTATCTTGTGATGATCCTATGTAAAGTGGATAGCATTGTGAGTTAAAGTATGATTTCTCATGATGTATATATGAAATGATGTTGGATTATGAAATATCCTTAAATGAAAATGTTGTGACTTGGTTGGTAGACTAAAATGTCCCTCCTTGTTACTTAAAGTCTTGAATGCATGAATGTGTGAAGTGGGCTAGAACTAAGAAATGGTGCCCTTTCTATAAATGCTAAAAGAGGAATTCTAGGCCAAGACTTGAATCGGCAAAACTAAGAAATGGTGCCCTTTCATAAATCTAGCTTTCCTAAGTAAATGTAAAACCATGAAATCGGTAGACCTAATGGTGATAGCCCTTCTCATGTGTGAAATGATGAACCTTGGACCGGTAGGCCTAAGGCACCCTTAATGGAAAGTCGGTAGGCCTAAGGCACCCTTCCAGGGGGATTTAATGAGCTATCCTTAATGAACCTTGATCGGTAGATCCTTGTGGTGCCCTTCTTGGTAGATGTGTTATGGGTCGGTAGACCTAATGATGGTTCCCTCTCTAGCACATATATGTGAATGAAATTACTTTATGGGAACTAAGGCTAAGCACCGAGTGGATATGGTTAAGATGGTAGCTCTCCCGAGTATGAGGCAAGAGTACAATGAACATCTTTGGATATCCCCTAAACCATGTTCCTACATGGGATGTGTCCTAGTTCTACCCTTGGCAAGTAGAACACCTTTCACGGTGTAGGGTTTTATGACACCGGATTCCATGTCTAGCTCGCATGGTCTATGTCGGTTAATGCCTATTCCCATAATGTGGGATGTGCACTCTAGTTATTGGATAGGTTCTACAACGTGTAGGTAGTAGTATGAGATGCTATCTACACATGGCACGAGTAGGCTTTGAAGATACTAAAGTGAGTTCCCTAAGTCTAACGACTATTATGTGAAAGTCCCCTTATGTGCTTGAATGTCTCCAAAATGGTTTCTTAAAGAATGTTGGTCTATTGATGTTATGTTGTAAAGGAAATGCCTTATCTAAGGTAATCTTGGGGAACACTTAAGTGTGCTTGAAGAGGTTGTATGGGCGGTCAGTTCTTGTCTCACTCAAGTGTGTCTTAAGGTTATATTAGGTAGAGGTCCTATGGTAATGAAATGACATGTGTTCTTTTAAAGTTAAACATGGGTTGTACATGGACATATGTTGATTATATGTATGATTGTATATGGACATATATTGATTATATGTATGGTGGGCTATGGTCTTATATGTTAATGTTGACTTGTATTATGTCTCTTATACTTGTAAAGGAAATGTTTTATCAAATTGATATGAAAGCATTTATTCCTTGTAAATGTCCATTTTGGCATGTTTTTGCATGGTCTCCATACTTAGTACTTAATTGTGCTAACCCCTTTCTTTCCCTTTTTGGACTAAAGTGTAGGGATTTGGAGATGATGACATGTCATGGCTATTTGATAGGTTTCTAAGTGTTGAAGATGAAGACTTGGTGAGTCCTCATATATTCGAGGACAATACCCTATATGTTCTTTTATGTCTTTTTAGTATTGTTTAAGTTGTGTATGGGATTGGTCCCGAATTTTGTACTCTAAAGTATTAGATAGTTTTGAGACATCATGTATAAAGTCTAGAAAGTCTTCCGCTTGCTATATATATATATATATGTATATATATTTATGAAATGTTTTCTTGGTAAAGAAAGTTTTAAATTCCTTATGGCTTTTTTTGTGTCTATGCGATGAATGAATGCTAAGAGGCTTGTATTAGACCTCTTCGAGGTCAAGTACGCCGGTTACGACTAGGGGGTGCTCTCGGGTCGTGACAATACCACTTCCTCATGAATTTATCTTGAATCGAGATCTTTTGGATCAACTTTATCCCAGTTTTGCCGAGGGAGCAACCCTGTTTTTCACCTTGAATTGGTCAAAATATGCGGACTTTCTTACTTTTCGTGGAGGATTAGATTCAGTAACTGGGGGTCTGTGGCTGACTGATATTGCCCATCACCATTTAGCTATTGCAATTCTTTTCCTGATAGCGGGTCACATGTATAGGACCAACTGGGGTATTGGTCATGGGCTAAAAATATTTTAGAAGTCTATAAAGGTCCATTTACAGGTCAGGATGAGATCCTAACAATGTCATGGCATGCTCAATTATCTCTTAACTTAGCTATGTTAGGCTCTTTAACCATTGTTGTAGCTCATCATATGTATTCCATGCCCCCTTATCCGTATCTAGCTACTAACTATGGTACACAACTGTCATTGTTCACAGATCACACGTGGATTGGTGGATTTCTCATAGTTGGTGTTGCCACACATGCAACCATTTTTATGGTAAGAGATTATAATCCAACTACTTGGTACAACGATCTATTAGATCGTTTCCTTAGGCATCGTGATACAATCATATCCCATCTCAACTGGGCATATATATTTCTAGGTTTTCATAGTTTTGGTTTGTATATTCATAATGATACCATGAGCGCTTTAGGGCGTCCTTAAGATATGTTTTCAGATACCGCTATACAATTACAACCCGTTTTTGCTCAATGGATACAAAACACCTATGCTTTAGCACCTGGTGCAACGACTCCTGGTACAACAGCAAGCACCAATTTAACTTGGGGGGGTGGTGATTTAGCGGCAGTGGGTGGCAAGGTGGCTTTGTTGCCTATTCCATTAGGAACCGCTGATTTCTTGGTACATCACATTCATGCATTTACGATTCATGTGACGGTATTGATACTCTTGAAAGGTGTGCTATTTGCTCGCAGTTCTCATTTAATATCAGTTAAAGAAAATCTTGGTTTTCGTTTTCCTTGTGATGGACCTGGAAGAGGGGGTACATGTCAAGTATCAGCCTGGGATCATGTCTTCTTAGGACTATTTTGGATGTACAATTTTTCGGTAGTAATATTCCATTTCAGTTGGAAAATACAATCAGATGTTTGGGGAAGTGTAAGTGATCAAGGGGTAGTAACTCACATCAAGGGAGGAAACTTTGCGCAAAGTTCTATTACTATTAATGGGTGGCTCCGCGTTTTCTTATAGGCACATGCATCCGAGGTAATTCAGTCTTATGGTTCTTCATTATCTGCATATGACCTTTTTTTCCTAGGTGCTTATTTTGTCTGGGCTTGTAGTTTAATGTTTCTATTCAGCGGACGTGGTTATTGGCAAGAACTTATTGAATCCATCGTTTGGGCTCATAATAAATTAAAAGTTAGTCCTGCTACTCAATCGAGAGCCTTGAGCATTAAACAAGGACGTATTGTAGGAGTAACCCATTACCTTCTGGGTGGAATTGCCACAACATAGGCATTCTTCTTAGCAAGAATTATTGCAGTAGGATAATGGCTAGGAGAATTTGAAAAGCATTATGGCATTACGATTTCCAAGGTTTAGCCAAGGCTTAGCTCAAGACCCCACTACTCGTCGTATTTGGTTTGGTATTGCTACCGCACATGACTTCGAGAGTCATGATGATATTACTGAGGAACGTCTTTATCAGAATACTTTTGCTTCTCACTTCGGTCAATTAGCAATAATTTTTCTGTGGACTTCCGGAAATCTGTTTCATGTAGCTTGGCAAGGAAATTTTGATTCGTGGGTACATGACCCTTTACATGTAAGACCTATTGCTCATGCAATTTGGGATCCTCATTTTGGTCAACCGGCCATGAAAGCTTTTACTCGAGGGGTGCTCTTGGCCTAGTGATTATTGCTTATTCTGGTGTTTATCAGTGGTGGTATACAATCAGTTTACGCACTAATGAAGATCTTTATACTGACGCTCTTTTTTTATTATTTATTTCTGTCATATCCTTAATAGCAGGTTGGTTACACCTATAACCAAAATGGAAACTGAGCGTGTCCTAGTTCAAAAATGTTGAATCTCGTCTGAATCACCATTTGTCAGAACTCTTTGGCGTAAGTTCCTTGGCTTGGATAAGGCATTTCGTCCATGTTGTTATTTCTGCATCCAGAGGGGAGTACGTTCGGTGGAATAATTTCTTAGATGTATTACTGCATCACCAAGGGTTAGGCCCACTTTTTACAGGTCAATGGAATCTTTATGCTCAAAACCCCGATTCAAGTAGTCATATATATATATATATATATATGGGGTTGTTTTACAGAATGTAAACTTGTGGATCAACTTTTGTATTTGAAAAATCTCAAATCATGATTTTTACATAATTTGAAATTTCAGAAATCAACATGATATTGCAGGTCCAAATCCTAATTTCGTACCACGATTTCATATAAATATAAAAAGAAATCAATAAAATTGATATAATTTATTCACGAGCACACATTGTTGGGAATAAACCAGCAACGGAAATAATATTTGCGGTAATAAAAACAATAAAAGCAGAACACAACAATACGGTTAATCAACAAGAATAAAAAGAGCAATAATGACACCAAGATTTTACGTGGAAACCTTCTTGAATAAGGGAAAAATTACGGCCCGAGAGGAACAACTGATATCACTATAGTAAAAATTTTACACTTGTAGGTCTGAGTTAAAAACTCTAAAGACCACTACACATTTAAAATAAATAACCCTTTTTTGATTTTCCCACCTCACTACAATATCGCTCACACTCTCTATTTTCCCTCAAAGACTATTTTCCTCTGTGATGCCTCACTCTTCTTTTCTCTCCTTTGTTTTTGGTGCATTTGAGAATGAATAATGACCCTCCCTTTTATAGATAACAAATGGAGTAGCCTCACAATTTTTTCTTCTTTATAGCTTACCAACATTTGACTTTTGAGGAAAGCTGGAAAAAAAATAACACATTTATATCCAATATCTTCCAAATCTGTCAACCCTTTGACGTTGTAAGATTTATCAAAGTTTGGCACATGGAAATGGACCCCATAATCTCCCCCTCCAGATCCATTCACCTGAAGGAGGTAGCTCTAAGTTTCTAGCTTGAGTGCATGCCGACAAGTTCTTTGTATAGTTCGAACTTGTCTCTTGATACCACATTGGTCAGCATATCCGAAGGGTTTTCACTAGTAGGGATTTTCATGACTTGCATAGATCCGTCCTCTATCTTTTCACGAATCCAATGATATCTCACGTCAAAATGTTTCATCCTTGCATGATACATGGTGTTCTTGCTCAAGTCTATGGCACTTTGACTGTTACAATAGATGACATACTCATTCTGATGCAATCCAAGTTCTTAAAGAAATCGTTTCAGCCATACCATCTCTTTGCCAGCTTCAGTAGCTGCAATATACTCTGACTCAGTTGTAGAGAGTATGACACACTTCTGTAACTTTGACTGCCATGATATAGCTCCCCCTGAAAATGTAAACAAATATCCAGTAGTGAATTTTCTGTTATCGAGGTCACCTGTCATATCAGCATTTGTATAGCCCTTCAAGATTGAATCAGATCCTTCAAAACACAAGCAGTCTCTTGTGGTACCTCTCAGGTACCTGATTATCCACTTAACTTCCTCCCAGTGTTCTTTTCCAGGATTTTCAAGAAATCTACTAACAACACCAACTGCATGAGCAATATCAGGTCTTGTACACACCATTGCATACATCAAACTCCCCACTGCTGAAGAATAAGGAACATTGGTCATTCCCTCTTTCTCCTCTTTTGTTGTAGGACACATCTGTTTGCTCAACTTCAGATGACTCGCAAGAGGCGTTCTAACATGTTTAGCACTCTTCATGTTGAAGCATTTTAGTACACGTTCAATGCACTTCTCTTGAGGTAGCCACAACTTTCTTTTTGTTAGTTCTCGAATAATTTTCATCCCTAGAATTTGTTGTGTTAGGCCCAAGTCCTTCATGTCAAATGACTTGGACAAATCTCTCTTCAACCTTGCAATCAACTCTTTGTTTTGTCCTACAATTAACATGTCATCCACATACAGCAACCAAATAATAAAATTGTTGTCAGAAAATCTTTTGAAGTATACACATGGATCAAAATATGTCTTTGTGTACTTTTGACTTTTCATGAAAGAGTCAAACTTTTTGTACCATTGCCTTGGTGCCTGTTTCAACCCATAAAAACTCTTATTCAATTTGCACACCATGTGTTTCTTTCCAGATACTTCAAATCCCTTAGGTTGCTCCATATAAATCTCCTCTTCCAAATCTCCGTGAAGAAATGCAGTTTTCACATCCAATTGCTCCACTTCAAGATCTAGGTTGGCTGCTAGGCTCAAAATAGTTTGAATAGAAGTCATTTTGACAACAGGTGAAAATATTTCATCAAAATCAATACCTTTCTTTTGTTCGAAGCATTTTACAACCAATCGAGCTTTATACCTGACCAACTTGCCATTTCCATCTTTCTTGAGTTTAAAGACCCACTTGCATTTAAGCAGTCTTTTGCCTTTTGGAAGTTCAACTAGCTGGTATGTGTCATTTTTCTGTAGAGATTCCATCTCTTCTTGCATGGCTTTCATCCATTGGCTCTTCTCTAGATGAGTCAACATCTCTTTAAGACTTTCTGGCTCCCCTTCATCATTGATAAGGACATACTCTGAGGAAGGGTACTTGCATGACTCTACCCTTTGTCTTTCTGATCTCCTCAAAGGTTGAGATTGTTCTTCTTCTTACGGGTACTCCACTTGCTCGGTATTATCACCAAGTTGATCTCCCTGCTCAACAATCTCATTAGGTTGCTCTTCATGTTCAGCAACTTCATCGATTGTACTTTCTGCACTTATGGGATGGTTAGAAGTAAAAGGAATGGTAACAAGATTAGGGATTGTACCATTTTTTTTCTTGGCCTTCTCAGATAGATCATCAACAGTTCCAACTTCACTTTCTCGAAAAATTACATCTCTACTTCTGATGACCTTCTTCTTTACAGGATCCCATAGTTTGTACCTGAACTCTTCATCTCCATATCCGATGAATATGCAGGGAACTGATTTATCATCTAGCTTGGTTCTCTGCTTCTTCGGTACATGTGCAAAAGCTTTGCAACCGAACACATTTAGGTGCGAGTAAGACATCTTCTTATTGGTCAAAATTCTCTCCGGAATGTCAAACTCCAATGGAACTGATAGACTACGATTGATAAGATAACATGTTGTCCGAACTGCTTCACCCCGGAACGACTTAAGTAATTTAGCCATTCTGAGCATGCTTCTTACCTTCTCAACAATGGTACGATTTATTCTCTCAGCTACACCATTGTGTTGTGGGGTTCCAGGAACTGTCTTTTCATGTTTGATTCCATGGTTTGAACAGTACTCTTCAAATTCTCTTGAAGTGTACTCACCTCCATTGTCAGTTTGGAGACGTTTTAGCTTCCGACCCGTCTCTCTTTCTACCAAAGCATGAAACTTTTGAAATACTTGAAACACCTGATCTTGATTTTCAAGATATAAACCCACAATTTTCGTGAAGCATCATCAATAAAGGTAACAAAGTATTTATTACCTCCCATCGATTCTATCTCAATTGGACCACAAACATCAGAATTTATCAAATCAAGTATATTCAACTTTCTTTCGAATAATGTCTAAAATAAGACTCTATGTTGCTTACCAAATAAACAATAGTTACAAGGTTTTATCGGTGTACCTTTGACAAAATAAATGAGTGATTTTTTGGAAAGAATTTGCAATCTTTTCTCGCTCATATGACCCATTTTTCTATGCCACAAATCTACAGAAATCTCTTCGTGAGCTACATTCAATTCACGTTGGCATATTTTTGCATTTGTCCTATACAATGTGCCATGAGCAACTCCTTTTGCAATCACCAATGCCCCTTTGGTGAGTCTCCATTTTTTATTTGCAAAGTAGTTCTCATATCCATCTCGATCCAAAGCAACTCCTGAGATCAAGTTCATCCGCAAATCAGGTACGTGGCGCACATCTTTCAAAACTAATGTGCATTCGACATTTGTCTTTATACAAATGTCTCTGATCCCCGCAATCTTTGAGTAACTTGTGTTACCCATTTTCACATTGCCAAAATCACCTGCTACATATCTGTAAAAAAGATCTCTTACCGGTGTGGCATGATAAGATGTTGTTGTGTCGACTACCCATTCCGACTCTACACCTGCCAGGTGCATGCATTCCTCTTCCTCGTTTATGAGGAGAACAATATTGTCATTATTTTGCACCATGATAGTTGTGTTGTCATCATTCTTCTGGCCGCTGCTTTCTCCTTTACCCCTTTTTAGATTTGGACAATCTCTTTTAAAGTGACCTAGTTGATCGTAATTGTAGCAATTTTTGGCCTTTGATTTTGATTGGACCTTGGACTTTCCATGAGCTCTGGATCTACCATAGTTACTTGAGCTCCTTTGGTAACTTCTACCTCTACTTTCAGTGATGAGAGCCTGCCCGTGATTCTCAGGCTTTTTTCTCATCTTCTCATTAAGCAGAAGGCTGATGTGACATCCTTCAACTCAATAGAGTCCTTACCATGTAAAATGGTTGTTGCCAAATTATCGTAAGAAGATGTCAACGAGTTTAGGAGCACCATGGCTTTATCTTTCTCCTCGATTTTTACTCCGAGGTTTGCTAGCTGCGTGATTAGTCCATTAAGCACATTTAAATGGGACAAAAATGTGTACATTCACCCATATGTAGGGTGTATAACTGCTTCTTTAGGTACAATTTATTTGTCAGCGTTGTGGACATGTATAGATTTTCTAACTTTGTCCAAATGCCACATGCACTCTCTTCATCGATAATGTTATTAACCACATCATCTGTTAAGTGCAATCTGATTGCACTAGCTGTCTTTTCATCCATTTCTTCCCAATCCCCAAGTTTAATGGATTCAGGCTTTGTGGATTTGCCGCCTAGTGCCTTGTGCAAACCTTGTTGGATGAGCAAGTCTCTCATCCTTCTCTGCCACGTTGAGAAATTGCTATCATCGTTGAATTTTGCTACCTCGTACTTTACTCCAAACATATTTTTTTTCTCACTGAGTATTGTACGATAAGCTGCAAAAAATATTTCTGTAAATGAGCAGAACCTGTGCTCTGATACCAATTGTTGGGAATAAACCCGCAACAGAAATAATATTTGCGGTAATAAAAGCAATAAAAGCGGAACACAACAATACAGTTAATCAACAAGAATAAAAAGAGCAATAATGACACCAAAATTTTATGTGAAAACCCTCTTGAATAAGGGAAAAATCACGGCCCGAGAGGAACAACTGATATCACTATAGTAAGAATTTTACACTTGTAGGTCTGAGTAAAAAACGACCACTACACATTCAAAAGAAATAACCTTCTTTTGATTTTCCCACCTCACTACAATATCGCTCACACTCTCCATTTTTCCTCACAGGCTATTTTCCTCTGTGATGCCTCACTCTCTTTTTCTCTCCTTTGTTTTTGGTGCATTTGAGAATGAAGAATGACCCTCCCTTTTATAGATAACAAATGAAGTAGCCTCACAATTTTTTCTTCTTCACAGCTTACCAACATTTGACTCTTGAGGAAAGCTGGAAAAAAAATCAGCACATGTATATCCAATATCTTCTAAATCTGTCAACCCTTTGACATTGTGAGATTTATCAAAGTTTGGCGCATGGGGATGACCCCACACACATAAACCAAAAGGTCTTACGAGTGCTTAATGCTTTGGTTGTGAAGTCGAAGTTCGAGTCCATTGAAGCCTTACAATGACTGTTTGAATCGTTTTTTACTCTTCTTTTATACATTTTGACATATGATTTTTTTGCATATCTTTTCTTTATTTTTTTCCACTTTCCTATTATATTTTATTTACTAACTAGACTATAAAAATGTTAACAAAGCTTCTAAAAAAAGTCCTTCTAACCTAGCAATTTTATATTAAAAAAAAATGAGCATCCATCACCTTCAAAATATGAATCCTCCATTGAGTACCCTTCAAATTCAACCGGTAGATTGTGAGTTTGAGTCACCAAGAAAGCAAAAAAGTGAAACCTCTTGCAGGAGAGGTATAAAAAATAAATAAAAAAGTATAAAATAATACTAAATAGAGTAAATTAATAATGCTTGTGATAGTTACAAATATCACAAAAGAAACCTATACAAAAAAAACTTCAAATAGCTAACATAAATAATCCTGATTAAACTAGAATTTACATTGAATTCGAACCAATATAAAACTTCGTGTGTCAATTTCAATTCGTGCAATTAACATTATGTAATTTACATCTTTCTGCTTATTGGTCGACTAATAAAATGTACACTACACTAAAAAGAGAGTAAATTATCAAATTCAATGTGACATGATAAAACATAATATTGGAGAAGAATATGAGCTGTGAGTTTAATAATATGTTCGGCTAAACTTCTAAAATCAGTTTATTTGAAAAGTATTTTTGCTGCAACAATTTATGTTTAACCAATAAATAAAAAGCATTTTTGAGTAGTAATTAGTATTTGACCAAGCTTTCTAAACGTGTTTTTAAGTGTATTTTTTTCAAAAGTAATTTTAGGAAAATTAACTATTTTTTAGCTTTTAAAAAGCTATTTTCCATAAACATTTATTTTCTCCCAAAAGCTTGATCAAATACCTCATTTTTTAAAAATAAACAATTTTTAGAAAAGAAAAAAAACACTTTTGAGCAAAAATAAGCTTGATCAATCATGCTATAAATATATCATTTATTTTAGTTTAAATAAAAATAGAAATTCCTTTGGTATAAAGCCAAGCAATAATATGCTAAAGTAAGCAAGTGAATAAGAATCCTATATCACAATCAATTCAAAATTGGGAATTCAATTACCAAATCTCCCAAAAAAAAAATCCTAGAATATTTCAGTTCATAAATATTTAATTAAAAAGTTTCCTTTTTTATCTTTGTTCTCTATATATATTCTACTAACTAATGATAATACCATAAGAAACCATAAGCAAAATGAATTATAAATATTATGAATGTGACAAGAGTGTTCAAACAGACAAAAAATAATAATATTAGAAATGGCATTTTCTTTTAACAAAGTTTTGTTATTAACATTTCTAGTTCTACAAGGCATGTGCGATGCTAATGGTAGTAACAAATATTCAATTTCTTTTATTTGTTCAAAGGCACCTAATCCTTCTCTATGCCTACAAGCCTATAACACTGATCCGTGTTCCCAGAACGCGGATCTGAGTGATCTATGTCAAATTGCAATCGATTTTTCAGAGAAAAGCGCAAGACAGACATTGAATTTGGTTAATCAGCTTCTACAAAATGCCAAAGGAGTTTACGGGAATAGATTACAAGATTGTGCGTTCCATTATTTGAACTGCGCGAATTTGTTCAACCAAACTGGGAAAATTTTGCAATCGGGAGACTTTCAAAAGACCTTAGATGGTGTAAATGGAGCATTGGCGGAAAGTGCTAATTGTGATGCGGATTTTATAAAGTCGCCACCTAAGGAACCAAACGAACTTCAACAGTCTAGTGTGTTAGTGCAACAATTGGGTGCTGTTGCCGTGCTTACTGCTACATGGCTAATTAAATAGAGACGATTATGTTGATGAAAAATCTTTTAGATTGTTGCTATTGATGTCCATTTGTTAGTATGAATTTAAATGCTTGATAATCTGTTCTTGGGTTCAATCATATTCCTAATAAAATGAAAATTCAAACAACTAGAACATTGTAACCCCTCCCCCTTGTGGCACTCCTTGCTCATAGAGTGGCATATTGAAAAAATAATTGTGACTACCTTACTTGAGCAATATTTAAAGATTCCTGCTTTTAATATCATACTAATTCTGAACAAATGTATGATCACTAACTAGCTAATAATCAATACAACTATTTTAAAAATATTGATAAATAATTTTAGAGTAAGTGTGCAATAACTTATATATACGAAATTAGGACAGAATACACAAGTGAAAGAATGAAACTTTTTGTCTACTTATATATACAAACAAAAAGGCCACATTGTGCTACTTTTTGGCTTTTAGTAAAGAATATTGGAGAAGTGTCTAACAAACAATAATGTAATTTGGTATAGCAGATGGTGTATTTCATGATTCTCATGGGCCCGGCCTTCACAATGCCTATAATTGTAAATTGATAATGTTAGTAAAATTCATGTGCTATGGACTCGAAGAATTGTGCTTTCATCAGAAAGGTGATATTATCAACCGCGTTCACCATCTCTTGTCTAGGGAACTAGTTGGTCTCTATCATCCATATTTATAGGGAGGCTAATTCTGGTTTAATCAATTTGGCTTTAGTCAAGAATTTTGCTTTGAATAATATTTACACGTGTCTTCTAGGATTTTTTTCATGTGTTGTAGCGGGTAGGAGATGTTGTTGGGGTTTCATTCCCTTGTTTAGTTTCAGACCGGTTACTTAATGTTTTAGTGCTCTTTAAAAAAATCTATTTGTCATGAATTTTTTTTTTATAAAAAAAATCAAAACTTGAGGAGGGAAAGTACCAGAATAATTTTTTTAATACAAGTTTTATCATTACGTTATTTATGCATCTTTATCTTTAACCATAAAACAATTATTACACTAGTCAGTTGGAAGTTTGTCTCCCTAACTTCGATTTGTAAGGGTCAAACTAGCTTTGTTCCTAGATACCAAATTGTGGATAATATTATCATTATTGAGGATTGGGATTTTATTTATACTAGTCGCTTGTTAGTTAGTTCTCTTTTAAAAAAAAAAAAAGATTAAAAAAACAACTGTGTTATGTCTTTATCCCTCAACTCACTAATCTTATGAATTTAGCCAAAAAAAAATTAACCTAAGGAGGGAAAGTCAGTAAAATAATTTCTCTTAATATCAATGTCATCATTACATTATTTATTGTACGTTATCCTAAAAAAATTATGACCCGTAAATTAAATGAATGAATATCAATTTTTCATCTTTTAACCGTGATAACTGAAAAGTATATCCAAATCCAAAAGCAACGTCAGCATGAATCCTTATCCAATTTACCTTTATCCCATATTTACCTATATATACCCTTTATAATACCTCACATTTCAAAATTCACAGATGTAGATAAATATCCTGTATATATACAAATATATGAAGTTTTTATCGGAATTGAGGACGTGCTGTGGCGGCGCAACCATCAGGACGGTGATGGATGGGCTACCGCCGGTGGAGAAAAAGGAGTCGGAGCTAGTAAATCGATCGGGGAATAAACGCGTGGTTTCTCGGGGAAGGAAATTAAGGAAAACGGAGAATTGGAAACCGGCGCTCCACGTCATCTCCGAGGACAAAGCGATCGCCGACGTTGATCGGTACAGTTACGATAAAACTACGGTTGGAAATTCCGGGAATAAAAGAGCGTCAAAAGATGCCGGTAGAGCACCGAAGAGGTTCGGCGATGGTTACTGGTAACACTACTTCACTTTTCTTTTTTTTAGTTTTCTGACCTTTTTAAACCAAATTATTGACGGACAGATTATTTTTAAATTAAAGGAGAATATTTTTGTTCAATTTTCACATAATTCAAATACATTGATCATTTTCCGTTATTATTATTATACTACTATTTTTAGTAGTGAGATTTATTTTTTCTTTGTATATGCAGGAAAATGTCGTACGCCGTTGCGATGCCTGCTTTCTCAGGAATGCTTTTTTAGTGTTGAGCTGTGTTTGTCTTGTCCTTGTAAATAATTAAATTTTAGATTTTTGTTCACCTCTATGGAAATTTAACAAAAGCAAAAATATATGCTTTTTAATTTCCTTTGTATATATTGTAAATAAAAAAAATGATGTTTAAGTTAAGTTGATATTTGGATTTGTAATTTTATACAAATTTATTTTTGATTTTATATCCTTTTGATAAAATATCTTTGTTTTATACAAAATAAAATAAAATGAAAAGGTTAAGTTTATTTTATTTTCTCTCCATTTTGTAGCTTGTGTTTATCTTATGGTACAATTTCTTTTTCAACTGCAATTAACTTCATTATTATCGATTGAATAATTTCGTAATTGAATATTGAACTCTTTGAACGCGAAATACATTAGTTAAATTTATTAATGTTGGCTTGAAGGTGAGTAGAGTGTGTTGTCTCCTGGATTAGGGAGTATTTCAATTTGGGCATCATCGATTATTCTTAACTTGAATTTTATTGTTGCATAGTAAAAATTCAGTTTGAGCTTATAATTTTTACATTTTTTTTGGGATTCATATTTTAGCAATTCTCTCTTCTTCACTAACTTGTTGCTTGCTTACTTTCTTACTTTCTTGGCAACAACTCAAATGATCAATCTCTATTACTCTAGAATGTTCTTCCAAGTACTTAAGGCAAATCCTAATCGAAGCTGATTTGCTCCGGTTCTCTCTTTAGTGTTCGCGTATCAAGCGCGCATTGACCAGTTTAGTTTCTGAGATTGGTATGCTCTAAATTAGTAAAAGAAACCCTCGGGTAATTTTTAAAGGCAAAAAAATGACAACACTCTCAGGTTTCAAACTCAAGACATTGAGCTCTAATGTTCAACATATTATCTTTTTATAGACTATCTATATATGTATATATAAAAAAATAAATTAAAAGTTGTCGTGTGCATGTGGGTCCGCCCCTGTTTAGTATCATCCTAATGTCCAGACACTTGGCGGATCTCTCTTTCACCATCAACTTCTCTAATTATTACCCTTTGAAACTTCTTCAAGGATAGTAGAATCTTTGATATTGATGACCTTTATTAATGTTATATATTTGTATACTTGATGTTTTGATGTTTCAGGTTGACCTTCTTAGTCTCGATTGTAGTGCTTCTTGAACTTCTTCTTGCAACATATTCTATCGTTCCACAAGCTTCAATTTTTCATAAGCTCTACTTTTTCTTTTCTTTAGATACCTCTTGGTTAGATTTGATCTTAATCTTCTTAGGCTCGAATGTGGTGCTTTTTGAACTTCTTTCAACACATCTGAGTTTCACAAGCTTCAATTTTTCATAAGTTCTTCTTTTTCTTTTTTGGAGATATCTCCTGATTAGATTCTATCTTATTCTACTTTATTAAACTTATCTTGCAACTATTTCTCAAAAGCTATTCATGAGTATGATAAGAATACTTATTTTGACCACTATGTTACCATTGACTCAATTATCATATTTCTTGATACATATATCTGATTCGTGGTATGGTTACAATACTTTCATCCTTTTTTCTTTGTTCATCATAACAAAAAAAATCGATATGGTTAGCATCCTTTTCAATTAGTTTATCAAACTTATTGCAAAGATGATATGACATGAACACACAACCTAATACTCAAAAATGACTTATGATAGGTATTGTCAATGATGTGGATAACAACCTCTATGAATTATGTCCAAATTAAAACCTTGTTGTTACATTCATACTAATCAACATACTTTTTCATCTTTCTCGAGGTGTTTGTTTATTCTTTCAGCTATTTCATTTAATTATTTGAACAAGTCAATCGTCCCCTTATCTTCTCTTTAAGATAGTCATTAAACTCATGATGAGAGGTGTATTTTCCCTCATTGTCCACAAAGAGATATTTGATTCTCCGCCCAATATCAGTCTCCACAAAATGTTGAAACTCTTTAAATTTCTCAAATAATTCAGACTTCTTCTTTAAGAAGTAAATGCATATGTACCTTCATTAATGAATGTTATCATGTAATAATAACCACAAATGGAGGACCGCTTCACTGCTCCAGACACTTTTGAGTGCACCAACGCCAATTGCTCTGGCTTGATACTTTGATCATCCATAGAAAAGTTGATGTGTTTCTTCATTCTTGCATCAAACACATATAGTGTCTCCTCTAGTTTCAAGGTGGGGATGACCTTTTAATTTTGAATGTTGCAACGTGTTTTTACTGTATTGTAGTTCTCTTGCCCAAAACATGCATGACATAAATCAATTATTTAATTACTTGGAGTTTTCTTCACATAAGTTGTCTCGGCTAACATGAAATAAATTGACTCTTAATATTCTTCACTCGAGTTGGTTGTATAGTTAATTTAATTAGCGAGGCATCAGGCATGTAGTGCATATCACCCTACAATGTCAATAACCTCCTTTTGTACTTCTAGAATAGGGCTTTCGGGGCCATGTACTCCTCATAATAATTTTATTTTAATTAATGCAACTTATTTTTTTGGCATAACACATAAATATGACCCTTAACTTTGCTTCAACGAACAACTATGCCCTCCAACTTTGAGTGTGCACAAGTAGGCGTTTAAACTTGTATAAAATTGAACAATTAGACACACGTATCCTACATGGCATAATACACGTAGGACGCCACGTAGGACACAAAATTGCCATGTAGGGTGCCATGTAGGATGAATGTGTCTATTTGTTCAATTTTATACAAGTTTAAGTGTCTACTTGTGCACACTCAAAGTTAAAAGTCATAGTTGTCAGCTGACGTCAAGTTAAGGGTCATGTTTATATATTATGCCTATTTTTTTCTTCAATCACACTAGCAACTTTGTTTAGTTCCTCACTTGACCAATAACCAATAAGCAATGGGAAAATAACCCATAGAGGGA